TTGAAATGCATGTCCACCACGGCCGGTACTGATAAAGTGCCTGTTGCTGGTGCCGTGCTGCCGGAATCAAGATCCGTCTCTGTGACGTCAGTGCCTTAAAGTGACATTTCCGCCGGCTCTCCAAAAGAACACAATTCTATAACCATAGGCAATGGAATAATGAGTTCAGCATGTCTTTTTGTCTTCTTTTTAATCAGAGTCACCAGTTCTGTAAGTTCCACGCTCATCACGCCTCACGCCATAGGTCCACTACGAGCTCAACTTTGAGTGGTCGTAAAGTTGGCCGACTGTGACGACATTCACCCACCTAGCTGCTGTGGCGTTGTTTATTCCCAGCTGACGAGAAAGTGAACGTATGGACATGAACACACTGACATTGGTCATCATTCCTAATGTTGCGAAATGTTGCGCGAAACGTTACTGAATCATTTAGAATGTGGCGTCGTGAGTGGGCTGTTTAATGCTTTGCTGCTTTATGTTATGCAAATCCCTTGAATGAATGCATTTCTGTAGCTTTAAGGTTTCATGTGGTGTCGTTTTGCTCGCCAAAGTTAAAGGATGAAGGTTGACGATGCACGCATGCTCATAAAAGGTGTTGCTCAAACTCATCAAGATCAGAATGTTGGAGTGAACAAATGGATCGTAGATATGTGAGGGATCTGTATAGGTTTTAGCATGTTTGGATTCGTCAGCTAACTCACGACATTATTCACAGTAGAGAGAAACTGGTTTGAAATATGCGAATTATTAAGATGCGTGGTAATTCTAATGCTCACACTTGCCCGTTGCTTTGCCTCCTCGCCCGTCTTTCTAGACCTGAGTCAACACACTGAAGGCTTCAGTATTTAAGGTATTGATATATACCTGAAGGGGTGGCGCGTAATGAAAACGTCAGTTAAATATTTCACTCGTGGTTACGGTGGTTGGTTTGCAGTCATCAAGTTACGATGGAGGAAGCGCGTGCGATGTATTTCTTACTGTATCGGTGGGCAATTCCTGTGTTGAAACACGCCGCGGTGTATAAAGACTGCATTCATGTATCATCACCCACCACTGTTCATTCCTGTGCACACATCAATAAACTAGAGATCATACCGCCAACTTTTCCCCGGGATGTGCAAGCTGGTATGCCAGTGACGCTTCCGGCATCACATCTTAATCGTACTCAGCTGACTGAACGGCACGAAATATGAACGAGAATGTTGGATAGTTGAGAACATTGGAGCAAGTCTCCGATATGATTAACTAAGCTTACTTATAAACATTGGTATATGATAAAAGGACCACTCCAGACAACGCAATTTTCCTGTTCAGTAATGCACCCCTCAATGCGTTATTGCGTGCTTGCGTCTTGGAACACTCTCATTACGTTGAGGTCTTGTCAAACTAGCCGTGCGCAATTACCACACTGGCAATCCTAGCACACACTTGTACTTTATTCTCACGAGAGGTGGCCGGGGCGATGCTGGAAGTGCCCTTAACCAGATACCGTTATGTTCTTGTATTTTTTGCGCTTTCTCGTGGTGTTCCTGCATATTTATTAGCAACTTTGAGGTGCTTACTTATATTTACATACTCAGCTCATGTGCTATTTTTAAGGTTTTCTATAAGAGGTCACATTTCCATATTTCTTAGCAACCATATCCAACTTCTTTTATTATATAGCACAAAACGTAATTCCCGATAAAAAAAAAATCCGACTGTCTTACCCTCTTCGTTCCCTATCCTGCATCCCCGCGACGCCCCGCTTGTACGGGCATGCTCGGAGGGGACTGCGTCCGGACGCCCGGCGCATATTCCGCACAGGGGTCCTTGCCTAGGGGTTAACACGCGCTCTGGTGGGGTGGGGGTCAGATTGACCCCTCCCCCGGAAGGCTTTTTCAGAATGGTCTCCGAGCAACGCGGCGTAGCCGCGCCAGATTTTGCATAGCTGTAGACAATTGAATAGCGGATTGTTTGACATGAAAAATTAAATGTACCTTGGTCGCTGTCGCTGACCTATCTTAGGTCTTAGGAGATGCTTTCTTAGGCAACATAGCGGTTGAATGAGGAAATTACATTGACCTAAGGTTAGGTATGAAGGACACACAAGGTCAAAATCAACCTGGTTTGTTGCTCTAAGGCTTGCTGTATGGGATATTTTTTGGTGCTCATTTCGAGTGTATTGATAGTAGGAACCGCATTATACATCATCCATGGACTTCTTACAGGTCAGAATAGGTCATTGACCTGAAATGACTCAGGTCAACATTTTGTTTTAGGAACATACTGTCTAGCGTAATCTTTGCCGCTTAATCAAATGCAAAGCTCAAAACAATCTTGCATGATTTTGGTCAACTTGACCTTCAAAAGGTCCAACAAGTTCATTAACCTTAAATGAGCACGTGACCTTTTGCTTAGAAACGGCTATCTAAGTTGTGGGGGCACTTTGAAGACCAACCTGGAACTTGACATTCTTTGACATTACTTGGCCCGAAGGTCATGACCTAGGAACCTGAAACTTTAACCTAAGTGATTTCACGTACAGGTCAACACACTACAAAATTGGTGTCTAGCTTTCTCAGTTCCCGAGATCTTGGGAGGGTCAAATTACCCCCCCCCCCCCCCCCCCCACCCGAGCGAAGGGTATCTAGCCGGTTACCCAGGCGCGTGCTGGGGCTCGGCGGCTGGTCCCTCAGGCACATGTCGTCCTGCCCCACCGTTATCCCTTCTCCTTCATTCAATAATCCTGATATGATTATCAGTGGATGAAAGAGCTCTGATCCAAATGACCAAATCGTGATTGAAACGTTTACAGCCTGCTCAAAGTCAATTTGGAGCCAGTTGACGTCCATTACATCTGAAAATCATGCTCACGAACGCCAGATGTAAATGGCTCGACGATTATATTCTTATTGGCCTTAAAACGCCGCATGGCCGATTGGATGGTAAGATTTCAACGACGCCGCTATGGCGTCATCATGACTGAATGACCTTGAAATTGTCTGCATGAAATAGTCGGCACATATTTGAGGGCATGTTGCTCAGAAACTAGAGGATTCAGGTCGTAAGATAGACAGGGCTGTGAACTGCACCGAATGACCTTCAAAATGCCTAATTCAGTTCAAGACCCGATACAAATGTAAACCACGCTCTTTAACCCGTTCCTCGCAACTTACGTCAAGGCATACTCAAGCATTCTAAACATGACCGCTGCTACCCTTGGCGTACTACATTCCACACCCAAGCGTGCAGCATAAAAGTTGTGCAGTGTGATACGTGCTCCAGTTGTGTCGCTGGTTTCATTCGTTCAACCTGGGCTATTTTGCTCTACATTCCGAGCGTTCAAAGCAGACGGCGTTGTGGTGCTTACTTCTTGCATCACTTGTCATCAATAAAATTCTGACGTTTATTTCGTGTGGAGAATTAGCGTTCATTTCCTCACTGACATATCTTGATGCAGCCAATGAATTGGAGGCTGTGCACATTTTACCTCAACGTCGTTTTCAAGTAATCACATCGAACTAACGATCAGCTGGCGCCACCTGCGGCCGCCATCGATCTCCGCCCGCCGATCCATGCTTGCCCTCTGCTGACCTCTGATAGTCCTCCAGCTGACCCCGATTAACCTCTAGCTGATTCCACCCGCTGGCCATCACGACTGCTCCCTCAGCCAACCGCACCATGCAAACGGTACAGCGCTGCCGCCAGCAGCACGAAGGCTGTAGGTAGGCCGGCGGCACGCGGCGCGCCGTTGCAGAGGTCGCTGGAGCAGGTGCAGAAGTGCTGCACCACGATGCCGTCGCTGGTGATGCGGCAGCGGTTCAGCACGCCGTTGGCGGTCCAGGCGGCGCGGCTGCCGCACATGTAGACGTTACGGCTCTCTCGACGATCCACTGTGGCAACTCGGTCCGGGAATGGCAGGAGCTCCTGCAACCGCCGTGACAGCAGCGTCACCCCCGTTCTCCCTCCTTCCGCTGGCACCGGCGTCACACAAGCACTCAAGTTGCAGACATGCACGAACTTTATCATTGCGAAACTAAGGGCCATACGTAACTGACGAAACCTTTGTCTACGTGAAATAAATTTGACCGCTATAACCACGGACAGAAATGCGTTCAACGTAAGTAAAAGTTCCTCTCCTATTAATTGACTTTAAAATCCTTGCTGAGATAGAGCAGCCTTAATCGATTTATTAAGTAATTTTCTGTTTTTTCTGTTTTTTTAATGAATTCTGGCATTGATGACATAGGCTGCGTGGCCATGCGTAATATTGTTTGTTCTTGTAACATAGCCTATCATTACATTAGAAACGCAGACTTTTGTGTCGGTGGTCTGGCACAAACAAATACTATGCAGCATGCGGTTGATCTTCAGCGACTTTCACAGAAAACCGTCAGACAACCATGGACTAAATCACTTCCGTCACCTGCTAACACACGACGCAGCAGCATTCTGCACAGCGCCTACAGCCTGCTGTCAGTACGCCCATAATTCATGTGCATTCACGCACACCACACCCAGTTTGTGTTTGCCTTAGGTTTGAGCTGTGTCGACCATAGTTTAAAATTTCAGACCAATGAGATTGATGTGAGAGCCGAGAGGCTAAATGAGCGGCAGTGCTGTGGCTGTCACAGAACGTCGCCCCCCCCCCCCCCCCCAGTCTCGCAGCGCGCAGGCACCCTGCGTCGAGGTCTGCTCCCGCCCTGGTGTTACTCCTCCCAGCCGGACGGTCATGAGACGGACTCATGACTGATCACCGCAGCGTGCACACGGTAAGGCGAGCCTTTCGGAGGAAACAGGACGAATACGGGGTGGGTGTATTGGTTCACCTGACGATGGGAATATCAAGAGTAACTCAGCTTCGAAACCAGATACTATGCCTTATCTAGCTCGCATTTCTGCCCGTACTCAACTGATTGCATTTAGGCAGTCTTAGATATCGTGTACCACTGACTGTGCGGGCCTCAAGTTACAACCATGTGCACCAAACCTTCATCACGCTGATGCTGCCAAATCCGCCGCGGGCTATATTTTCTCTGTAACATAGCCTGGACCCAGACCAGTCGGTCGGTATACCTGGACCAGACCGGACCTGGACCGGACCTGGACCAGTCGGTATAAACCTTTGATGTGAAACGCGCTCCGTCATAGAAAGTTACCGTGAGAATGTGTTGTTAGATGGGCCGATCAGCACCTAAGTCGGCGATGTGCTCACCGGGCAAATCTTCTGGCCCCCGCCGGTGCCGTTCTGGCCGTCGGCGGGTCTGTGCACATGAGAGCCGGCCGGCTGATCTGGCGGGTGCTGATGGCCGCCGGGCCCGTGGTTACCGTGCCGGCTGTGGGCGTCATGACCGTCGTCATGGCCGCCGGCGTGCCGCCCCGCCGGCACCGCTGTTGTCGACCCCGCCGGGGCTCCGGTCGCGCCAGCGCCCGCGGCTTTCGAGCCGTTGCCGGCAGCGACACCCGCGGGACCTCCAACTGAAGCTGTAGTTGCCAGATGGCCGCCAGAGGCGCTGGTAGTGCCAGCACCGCTTGGCGGCGTGATCCCGCGGCATGCGGCGTTCTTGTCCAGGGAGTCGTAGTATCGCTTCAGATCACTCCCAGCGAAGTGTTGCTCGTAGTAGCCTGACACTGCACACATCAAACCAGTCTGGGAGTGCCTCGTCATGGCTTCTTTGGAACGGTGGCGGCAAGCCTCAGCGTTCAGAAGACGGAAAGAGAGAGAGAGAGAGAGAGAGAGAGAGGAGAGAGGAGAGGAGAGAGAGAGAGAAGGAGAGAGGAGAGAGAGAGAGAGAGAGGAGAGAGAGAGAGAGAGAGAGAGAGAGAGAGAGAGAGAGAGAGAGAGAGAAAGAGAGAAATATATATATATATATATATATATATATATATATATATATATATGAAACATCACTTCCCACTTGCCATCCGCTAAAGGTTATCAAGCGTTTAACAGCAGCCGGTATGCTAGACATGGCGTTTCTGGAAAGTACATGTGAAAACACTGAGTACCCCAATATAACAGCACTGAGCACTCTAACCAGAAATAACTTGACCAAAACTTCTGGGGAATTCAGGCTCCGGTAAATCGCGGAGGCCTCAAGTAGTCATACGCCTGGAGCCGGCGCAAGTAAGCACTGCAGTGAGCTCTCAGTTATGGCACACTTTGGACACGTGCGGTGTACCCGCAAAACCTGAACGATATACATTCCTTTCAGAACTGTGCCGTAGCCGTGTTTTCTAATTTGTTGTTCAGTATTGATACTATCAGTGTTTATGCTCTGGACGGACGGTCAGTAAGTCCAGCTGAAATTCCTAGCAGGACAATCAATAGAGCGGTCTTGCCTTCTGAGGCGTGATACCTTTGGCTTCTCTCATACACAAAGAGAGCATCGTTAGAGTATCATGCTCAGCGTGCTCGTACTCCCCGCCCGAAATAAAAACATCTTTCTTCTCCAGTGTAAGGGTAGAATCATAAACTGAATGAGGTTTTACATTTCCAGCGACAAATGAGCATGAGTACTACATTGAATAGAGGTTAAGGGCATGAGCTTCAACGTAACAAAAGGAAGGCCACTATCGTTAATTTTGTGCTGTCCTTTTCGTATTATCACCGACTTATATCTACCGATGTTCTCAACTTTAACCCCTTTATCGGTCACGCTTGGCGCCTTCGTTGCTGATGAGTGCCTGACAGGTATATCTTTCCCCCATGCCAGTCACAAACCCTCTTTATACAACCCCACATTTTACTCCCATCTTTATCCTGCTCTAGTTTCATCTTAGCCTGCACGACATCCTTCCACACTGACTTGTGTGCATTGCGACGGCTGCGAGAATAGCGGCTGGCCAAGTGGGGGCATCGAAGAATACGATATAGAATATACCGATTTTCAATTCAAAAGAAGCAAGCTGATAGATAAGTGACTATAACAAAAATACTAAATGTATCCCAATGTCCGTGACTATGGATTCACAGAACGGTAAAATTGCATAAAAGCGCGCTCAGCCGGGGGAAGTTGACCTCCTCTACGGTTCTTCGAGCACAGATCAATAACAAACGCTTGGAGCAGCACAAAAATTGTCGTATTTATTCATCCATCAGTTTAACATTATTTGTGTATGTCAAGCTTTCATCTGCCAGGATCAGTGGCCTAGGCTAGGCTAGAGGTGCACTTCTAAAAATATATGTCCACACGTAATTCGTCGTGGGTCACTTGCCGTTGTTAAAACTCGTTATGAACATGAAACATAATAGTACTTGCAGCTTATATCTTTCTGATCTTTGGAAAATGCAAGGTAAGTTACCTCAGTTTAGGTTAATTTTGCTATTTTGAATAAAAACTAACTTTGTTCGTATTCTTAGGTAGTTTTGGTGTTGTTATATGAGGTAAAGAGTGCTAACTCATATGCATAGCCAGCATATGACCACAAAGCACATTGTCTTGGCGCAGGTCATGACCCACCTCTATGGGTATTTTCTGTAAAACACATACTGAGCTCAAAATAGGCAGTTCTGATATGTAATTTTTGATGTCGCATTCAAGTACCGTGCTGAAAAATGTTGTAACACCATTATAATGCATAATGAAGTCACAATGGGTCAAGTGAGGGCGTGCAAGGCCATGTTAGGTCAGCTAAGGTCATGTGAAGTCATGCAATGCCATTTAAGGTCATGTAATGACATTTGAGGCCATATGCAACATCTAAGGACATATGCGGTGATCTAAGGTCAATGGCATCTGATTCAAGTAGCGGAGAGACTAGATGGGCGAGTGCCCCGCACGTAACTACCTCCTTATCGTTTTTGTAAAGCTGGTGACGTATAATCTCACGTAATAATGTGTATGTCTTCAGTTTGTTACCAATGCATTGCAAGGCTTCGAAGAGACTTTGTATAATATAAACAATAGCTATGCGATCTTGATAACCTGTAGATGTACAATACAATATTTCTGATCACAAAAACATTGTACTGGTCACATAGAACCGGTTAGCACTTCAAATTTGTTCATTTTGATGGTTTATGAATGCGAGCTAAGTTGACCTTGGGTGACCAATAGTTCAGCCTTAAAAGATATGCGTGTGTTTTGAAAGGTTTTGGCCCACAGGTGTACATAATAAGGTAAACTTATCCTGAAGCGCATCGCGAAAAAGTAATGTTTTTGTAGACTGTTGGTAGGCCAGCTTTGAACGGTGGCTTGACCTGACCTGACCCTTTTGGGGAACAGAAAAGGTCAGAATGGACTTCCCACAGCCTTAACGCTTATTTTCGTGCCCTCAATATTCATCTGTACGTGTCCGACGTGGTGTGTAACATAGGTTTAACTGTATCTTTCGAAATGACTGTTTTTGACATTTTGCGACCTTTGGTGACCCCAAATTTGCCCTAAACCTAAAACAAGTATAAACATTCTCCTCGATTTTACGAGTTCATCACAACAGTATCTTTATTTTCTCACACGGCATCTGAAAGAGAGAGACGCCAGAGGGAAGCCAGCTTCTCCCTGGTCGGGCGTGGTTGTCTCAGACATCGGACGGAGCGAAGGTTAAAGTACGTGCGATGAAAAGTCACCACAAAATGTTGATTGGCAAACATTGCCCAGCAATATCATCATTACACACGTCAACATGCATCAACACATACCAACACATATGTGAACACTACCGATACTACACATCGCTAAAGGACAATTCACCATGCCTTCTTTTGTGTTATTTTAGGTATTCATTGCACGCATCCTTGGTCCAATATCATATTTCTCTTGATACGCATATGCAGGTGCAAACTGATACAAATTTAGCGTGAATGAGTGCGAATAGATAGGAATTGAATAGGAGTTGAATAGGAGTAGAGTAAGGAGTTGAATATGATTTTGAAAGCCGCAAATATATTAACTATATAGCAAGTCGCATTCCGCACCATAAAATAGCAGCATACACATCCAACGACTAGTCTAGATACTTCCTTGGCTCATAAAACCAGTCCAATTCAAGAGCTTAACGAAGCACATGGCAAGGTTGGTTGGGCAAACCACACTGATCTGTCGTCGTGTACCACCATGTATGAGTTTGTTCCACACAGTAGTTTAGATAATTTCTTTATCGCAACCTCTGGATGCATCCATGTCATGCAAACGGTGTTCTACGTGCTGCAGAACACATGAATAAGACTTGTATCGTATACAATTGCTACTTGAATGCTTAAGTACTGAATTCACTCCTCCGAAGTGCCGGAATTTAAATCTCCCAGTAGCATATGAGCATGCCACCCAAAAGCTGTTCCTTGAGCCACACGATGTCGTAAAAAATCGCACACCCCATGCATAATGGAATTGTTACGACAAAGGTTAGAAAAAAACACGCGAAAATCGGTGTCATAGCCCCATCTGGAGATATAGGGTAAATGAAATATGGCCTTAATGTTGTATGCAATGCATAACTCAGGAACGTACCTTGCAAACCCAACTTCACGCATACTGCATCGCTTTCCTTGCATGTCTTGGTGAAACGTTTATTGGTATGTCCACCTTTCAGTTCATCATTTTTGCATCCGTGATCTTGCTTGCTGTTGCAGACGAAACATTGTAGTCCTAGAACACCAATATGTTTCCGTCAGGTTAGATTTGCCTGTTAAATGGGCAAAGCACGGCTTGACATAATTACATGATATCTATGGTGTCAATGCGTACAAATATCTAAACATCGATAAAAACTTTTTGGATTATTTTGCGGACAATAATTGACCTGTCTTTTACCAAGAGACACTGGCTGCCCAAAGTTGTCAGACAAACACAAGTTATATTTTGATAGCTCATAAACTTGCATAAATTTACATAATTTGACAGCATTGTTTATCTAATACTTCCTGGCATATCAATGTCGATTATTGCCGCTATGAGTACCATAATGCCGAAAAAGCAGAAGCCCATTGCCTTTCTTGCTTGTATCAAGTATGCACTGGAGAGCTTTTGGACCTCACCTTCGATGCGCTGTGGCAATATAAATATTTGTGTGTACAGCACGTACAAGGTCAGAGGTAGAATTTTGCTTAAAAGCATAGCCTGTAATTTGTCAAGCCAGTATGCGATTGAGCAAGTTTAACTCAAGTCTTTTAATAACAAGCGCAATTTTAGTAGTTACTCGATGCACTTCACGGCACATTAATGCGGCATCCTCAAGAGCTGAAAACGTCAGCTAATGCAAGTACTCTAGTTCCTTCACTTGATAACATCTTGTTAAAGGCATTGAGCGTCTAGTCTAGATATAACAAAGCATTCCAAATCTGCCTTAGGAAAACGTGACATTGCTTCTTGGGGACCATCATTTCAAAGCTCCATTTGCTGGCATTTGATACAAACTTTGCCCCAAATATTGTCTCAGACTAACGCAATGTGTAAGTCGTTCAGCTGAAATACGAACGATTTCAGCTGCAAACGCGTACAGAAAGCAGAGATTCAGAATGGCGACAGAGCTAGGAGATTTGGTTACTAATATGAGTACGTTTGCCTCGACTTGCATTGGGTGCGTTTAGTGGCACGCACTGGCACACAATAAACGGTGGTTATGTTTTATATGAGACGGAATAAATTTTCAGAGCGTGGTGCATTTTGTCATGACTTTCAAACCAAATTAATACTGTTTGACATGTCGAGAAGTATGTAACATACTCTTGGCGCACAGATTTTGCTATTTGATATTTTCCGCTCCGAAGTACGTTCTGATTTGTTTCCACGGATGGCATCCCCTCCCGAAAAAAACAATGTTGCATTATTTCCGGGTCTGATACATGTCATGATGCACTTTGCGGAATGCACAATAATTACTGAATGTCGAGCCTTGGTTAGGTTCGGTTTAAATAAAGTACGTTTTGTGAAATTTTCCGCAATGGCGGAATAACTGCGACAAGGTTCCCCTGTCTCTCGAACTACTAGAGCATACATTTACGTCAACTAGCAAAAAGTAAGAAACATGTTACCATACAACCTACAAAAGCCTGTTAGCGTTCATGTAAGCCAGCAAACAAGTGAGAACGTCTTACCACGTTATTTTCAACGATCCGTGCATTGCGCTCATGCCACTGAAAAAATGAGAATGCTTCCCTTGTTTGTTGAGAAAAGGATATTTATTAACAAGAATGCCTAATATTTTGTATGAAGAACCTTAAATGCTTTAAAAGCGTTGTCTGTTTTTAAAAGGGAATAAAAAACCTATAGTGCTACAACGCGGCCGTTCCGCTCTAGGGGTCTTTGCCAATCGCCAGCTTGCCATTGTTTTGTTACCAGAATAATTTTACGATACTTCGACTGGATTTCAGCGAGCTTGCCTGCACCGCTGTCTTTTCACTATTTTAGGTTCACTTGAAATGTCAGACCTCTGCGACCTCGGATTATGAAGGTACAACGTTGCTCTTCTGGAAATGTCATGTTTAAAATGACGAGCTTAGTGAAATGAGATCGAAAAGCTCACCCTGCACGGGACTTTTGTCCATCAACTGTGTCTGGAAAAAAGTCAGATGCAAAACTACGCGATGAACAGGATCGGTCTACGTTGGGCGGTAGGTTCAGGGTGCATCCAGTCAGGTTTCCTTTACGATCGCCGTCATTATGTTGCGGCAGCTTACTTGCATAGAACGTCTGCCTCTGGATTTCCCAACCGGTGGCAGGCAGGATGAGTTGGAGTCGTGTTAAACGCTTGCTATGCGCCCTTGACAAGGATGACGGGTAGATGGTGGTAATAGCCGCGCTGGCCAAGTGATGTCATTAGACAAAACGGATCGTGCCGAGTTTTGTGGTACACCAGAGTTTAACAAACACAATATTTGCAGTTGACCTGTAATTTTAGAGGGCACAGGCACAGGCGCTGCCTATCGCTGGCTTGGTTCCCTTAAATCCAGCACATGAAAAGGTTTGGACTGCATCTTATATCACATCCAAAAACCACACATGAAACCGCCCGCAGTTAAAGTTAAAAGAAAATCCGCTGATGATATCTGATCCATATTTACATGTTGTAACGACCTGGTTACCTTTCTAAGTCAAAAAGGTCACTGAGATCGCATTAATTTACTTGGCCTTTTCACCGAGCCTTATCGTCGTGCCCCGCAATGTCGGGTTGAAAAAGCCTGATTCCTACAGCTTACATTTTTCCTGTAAATTTACAATGTGGAAAGCATCAAAAGGAATGAGTGTGTAGAGGTACTATATTTGTTGCTCTTATTAGCGTCAGGACAGGTCAGAGGATGTTTAATCACCAGGTATAAGCACCAGTTTGACTTATGACCCGATATTGATGCATTGTTATAGGCCACATGTTTGGTAATGAATGCAAGAATATGGCCCAAAACCACCTATATAACAAAATGCTTTCGCTCATCATTTCACACAATTCATTTTGACACCGGCGGTTTTGAAATAAAAAAATGCAATGGTGGATTAGCGCAAGTAGCTAAAAACTCAAATCGCAGCACTTCTCTAAACAAAGTGTTCTGCGGAAAATGAGAATGGGTTATCGTTGCAAAAGTCGCAGGCACGCCGACCCAGCCTAGGGTTTGCTTAGCGGGGTGCAGCCTGGCCAAGAATCTTAATGGCTGCCCGCCGGCGCTGAGCTGTCTGCGCGGAAGTTGGCTGCTTATGGGGAGCGTCGGAAATACGATGGGCGAGGATCAAACGAGGCTAGCCAGCTGGCTGCCATGATGATTGCAGAGGCTCTTGCCAAAACGTCGAATGATTACTGGAGTTTGGCCGGACGAGGAGTAGGAAAACAGAGATCTTGTTCGCACTGATACAGTGTTCTTGTCGGGTGAGAGTGAAAAGAAGGCAGAAAATTTTTAAACATATAAGCTTATGGTTAGCTCTCCGGTGGCACAGCGTTACCCGGTGGAAGTCACGTGCTCATGAATCACCTTCTGGATCTGTCACAGCAGTTGTGTCAACTTGCCACCGCATTTTTCCGTATGGTGTCCCTAAGCAGAACAATGAGGCAGCGGACGGCATTAGCATCATTAACGAATCAACTTATGACGTAATTGTCACATGGCTTGGGATGACGCAAGTGTTAGTTTTCAACGCCAGTCACCTGGCGTATTTATTGCGGGCATCGAGAGTTTCAGGTTACAGTCTCCCTAAGTTTGGCTTTTCACAGGTCCGAGGAAGCTGAAGCAAAAAGCAATCCCCTCAGCGACTTGCGAGAAAGAGTAGACAATACACACGTTATCCAGTTACACTTCATCCCTATTAGTTGCTAATTTATTCTTCAGACACCTAATGAGTGACATAACCTCTCTTCGTGTCCTTAGTTCATCATCATACAACACCCAGGTGCACGCATGATACTAATTTGCCCCGCAACTTGAGCAATAGTAAATGTATGGGAAATAAGCTGTTTGCAGATAACATGATACAATCACTAGAAAGGAACTTTTTACTAAGCCTGGGCGAACCCTCTTCGAAGTCGACCACAGTTTCATAGATACCAGTTTTTTAACGACCGATACAGACGGTGATTACGCAACCATTTTTGTGATATGTTGGCTTAAGGGACTAACGACTGACCTTCCTGAGTGAGCTTATA